TCCCTCCTTCCCTCCTCCTTTCCTCCCTCCCTCCCTCCCTGCCTTCCTTCCTTCCTTCCTTCCTTCTCCCTTCCCTTCCTTTCCCTTTCCTTCTCTTCTTTTCTTTTTTTTCTTTTCTTTTCTTTCAACAAAATCACACTCTGTCACCCAGGCCAAGTGTTGTGGTGTGATCACAACTCACTGCAGCCTCAACCTCCTGGGCTCAAGTGATCCTCCCACCTCAGCCTCCAAATAGCTGGGAATACAGGCATGTGCCACTGCACCCGACTATTTTTTATTTTTATTTTTGACATGAAGTCTCACTCTGTTGCCCAGGCTGGAGGGCAGTGGTGCGATCTTGGCTGACTGCAACCTCTGCCTCCTGGGTTCAAGCAATTCTCCTGTCTCACCCTCCTGAGTAGCTGAGATTATAGGCACAGGCCACCATGCCCAGCAAATTTTTGTATTTTTAGTAGAGACGGGGTTTCACCATGTTGGTCAGGCTGGTCTCGAACTCCTGACCTTGTGAACCACCCACCTCTCAGCCTCCCAAAGTGCCAAGATCACAGGCATGAGCCACCGTGCCTGGCTATTTTATTTTTATATTTTTGTAGAGACAGAGTCTCACTGTGTTGCCCAGGTTGGTCTCAAACTCCTGAATGCAAGCAATCCACCAGCCTCAACCTCCTAAGGTACTGGGATTACAAGCTATTTTTACTGTCTCTTTTAGGGCAGTAAAACTACTCTGTCATACAGGTGTATGATGCTCTACAGGTGGACACCTGTCACGTTTGTCCAACAGAATGTGCCAACACAAAAAGTGAACCCTGGTATAACCTATGTTTGTGTAATAGTGATGCATCAATGTTGGCTCATCGATTGATTAAAAGTTTTTTTTTTTTTTTTTTTTAAGAGCAGCTTTAGGTTCACAGCAAAATTGAGTAGGTACAGAGATTTCTCATATTCCTTCTTCCCCCCCATCTGCACGGCCTTCCCATTACTGATATCCCCCACCAGCATGGAACATTTGTTACCCTTGATGAACCAACATTAATACATCATTCTTATGCAAACATAGTTTATACCAGGGTTCCCTCTTGGTGTTGCGCATTCTGTGGTTTGGACAAATGTGACAGGTTTCCACCTGCATAGCATCCTACAGAGTAGTTTCACTGCCCTAAAAGTCCTGTGTGTTTCTCGTTTATTGTGTTCTTAACAATTTAAATGAACCGGCCAAGCGCAGTGGCTCCTGCCTGTAATCCCAGCACTTTGGGAGGCCGAGGTGGACGGATGACGAGCTCAGGAGGTTGAGACCAGCCTGGCCAACATTGCGAAACCCCATCTGTACTAAAAATACAAAAATTAGCTGGGCATGGCGGTGGGCACCTGGAATGCCAGCTACTTGGGAGGCTGAGGCAGGAGAATCGCTTGAATCCAGGAGGCGGAGGTTGCAGTGAGTGGAGATCGCACCACTGCACTCCAGCCCAGGTGACAGTTGGAGACTCTGTCTCA